ATATTGTCTTCGTTCTAGAACGTTCCGTAACAAATCGGTCATCATACGAGACATTTTGTCCTCAAGTAACGAGAGAGACTTGATAAATATTGCTTACAATATCATATGTAACACGTAACATGTAACTGTGGGAGAGCCATGCTTCGGCACGAATGGGCCGGCTCGACTGGAGTGATACCACGGCCTCACAGAAAACCGACGTGAAACAACGCTTACATTGTATTTCGTTGAGTAAGTGAGGTTACCGGAAGCCCAATTACCCTCTCCCCAGTTTCCCCAATCCCTGAATCCCCGCCAATCCTCAAATTACCAATTCCCAAAAGGGCTGTAACGCGCTTGTAACGCCTCTTGTGGTTCATTTATCCATGTGCGACGCCGATTGCTTACCATCAGGTGATCCGTCTGCTCGTTTACTGGCTTACCCCATAAATATACTATTTAGCCTTCGAAATGGTAGGCTGAGCTACAAATATGGACTATTCTACACAAATAATAATTATTACTCACCCCCTATTACATGGGACTCATAACATAAATAGTGAAAAGTGGGTGTTACATTGTGCAGTGGTATAATGTGCACCTCTGCCTACCCCTTCGGAAGTAAAAAGCGTGATGTTATGTTATGTTAGTTTTGAATCAGTAGTTTTGGAGAATAACGCGTTCATACAAACAAATCGAAAGTAACACCAAATATTCACCACATCAGCTGATTGCTATATATACAGACTGTAATTCCAGTCACAGTCTGGGACATTTTCGGAAAAACTGAAAAATCACACTAACATTTTCTTCCACCGAGAAATTGAACCCGAAGCCCCTTGTTCAGTAGTTATACCTGCAACCAGTCAACTAACGAGGCAATCGATGAACATAGCTTTGCCTCTTTATCTTCATTCCTCTTACTCAGAGTATTTTTACGAAAATTCGTCCGCAATTTGTCTAAGTGACGTAAATTCTGAATTTCTTACAAGATTTCCTTAGCGTTGGCGAGGAAATATAGACTTTTTTGGAGTAAAAAGTCTCTAATGGAACTGTTTAGTTTTTGAATATTTTTTTTTTAGTGACGAATAGCGTTTTCTGTTCGTAGGTACAAACGACATTTTAAGTTCGAAATAAGTTATGAATGTTTCCATCATCTAGTAAAATCCTGTAGTTTACTCGAACGACTCCTCTGAAGTTGTGGGTCTGTGAGTGTCCACGGGCGTCGCTGATCGCTTACCTTAGGTGATCCGTCAACTCGTTTGGCCCCTAGTCCATAAAAATAACCGCTTTTCTAAGAACATCATCATGGCACCACGCCTTTTATCCCCGAGGGGTAGGCAGAGGTGCATATTATGCCACTGAACAATGTAACTTTTCACAATTTATGTATGTTATGAGTCCCATGTAATAGACATATACCGGGCACAATTGGGTAGTTTCTAGGGTAAGAAAATTTAAAATCTAATTAGTCCGTCAGTTAGATAATGAAAAACTATTAGACGTATTTTTTTTTCTCGTATAAAGTTACACAACTTAAATAAAATGGCGGTAAGTTTAGGAGTGGGAGGTAGTTACGTCATAACGTGGTACATTTTTCAAATCAATATATCGTCAAAAGCATTTAACTTTGTGAGAAAAGAAAAAATACGTGTCTAATGTTTTAAAATAATTTACCAGACGAACATTACAATTAAATTTAGGAAAATACCCTATTCCAGACTCCGTACCACTACACAGAATTTTTAAAAACCCAGCAATACTTTACCCGACCCGGGAATCGAACCCGAGGCTCCTTGCCCGGCAGTCGCACTTGCGACCCACTCGGCCGACTAGGCAGTCAGAAATAAGAACTTAGTTGAAAATTCAAAGTAACACATTGTGATCACATGTTGTTTATTGAACCAACCACATATAAATGGGAGGATTTATTTTATAGTTTTCCGATGACAGTATATCACGATTCTGTGTTTATTGTCTTTGTCTAGCGGACATTATAGCTGTTAGAGCAATTTTAATTAAACTTTAATTGCTTTTAGTTTTAGTTTAAACAAAATACATTATCATGTTATTTGATTTTTATTTCCATTGACTTACTGAACCTGCGATTTTGTTTGCTTTTTCTAAAATAAAGGTGGCTTATATAGTGTATGTAAGTACTTCTTAGAACATTAGCTACTGGCCAACTAAATTCCCGTCAAAATTGGTCCAGCCATTTCAGAGTAAAGTCAGTCCAGACAGACAAAAATTATAAAAAGTGTTATTTTGGTATATTATGTAGACTATGTATGTTCATATGCATGTAGTGCAGTTATTTCAATATTACAAACAGACACTTTAATTTTATTGATCTGTATAATAGATGTATTAATTTCTTTCTTTGTTGATTCAAAACTTTAAAGATTAAATGTCGTTTTACTCGTGAATAAGAGTCCTGGGGTCTTACACTTGAATCCAATTCCGATTGATTGACATTGGTATTGCGAAATTTCGTACTCTTGAGTTGCAACACAAGCGCCCATTGCATCCTTATTGCGTGGGTATTTTATGAACTAAATGGTATTTAGTTTGGCTTTATATTCCGTACTCTGAATGCTGTTGTAACAGCTATTAAAAGGGTTGTATAGTTTTGACATTGAATAATTATTGAGATTTTATTGGATTAAAATTGCATTGACATTAAGATTGGTTTCAAGAGTAAGCACCCTGACGTGACCTGAAACTAGTCAGGCTTTTAAAAAATGGTGAACCATTCAGAAGGCCTTGTTTTTTAATTTTATTTAGTTTGTCTCACATTAGTGTAAACAGAATTGTAAAAAGTTAAGTATCAAAGAGTTATTACACAAAAATTTAAGTTAAATATTAATTTCCAGAATCGAATAAAAATAAAATCAATACTAACGTATTTGACAACGAGAGAGTCGTGTGAAAGGAATTTTCATACAAATATGGCTCTTGAAGAAAGCATAAACTGAGAAATAAGATAAAGAAGTGGCTTATTGTTGAAAAACAGATTACCATGTAGCTGAACTCAACAAAAAAAACTTACGTATTTATAGAACCAATCGAATCTGACGAACAACTTCTTTGACACAATAATGAAGAATGCTCACATAGCAACTAAACTTACTTGTAGCAGTTAAACCATTCAGTTACTGTTAACTTCTAACTTGTAAACTTTAACTAAATGATTTGTGTTACTAACGATTAAACTAACTTGAAGTTTACTACAATGGTTGGCTTATAAATGTCGAGTTTACTCATATGTTACTATGTCACATTTATCTTGTAGTATAATTATGTTATTGAACTTTGAAATGAACTTTAAGTGTGAGAGAGTCATGCATCGGCATGAATGGGCCGGCTAGACCGAAGTGATAATATCACGGCCTCACACAAAACTGACATGAAATAACGCTTGCGTTCTAAATATTAAGTGCATAACTTAACGTTTTTTTAACCGACTTCAAAAACAGAAGGATGTTTTGTTAAACGTAGGTTATAAAAGAATTATTCTGCTTTATTAGGTTACACAGAGATGCTTAAAATCAATGTAAATTGAATATTGACTAGTTAATCCGAGGTATGTAGTAAAGAGTTCTATGTAATAGGGGCGAGCCAATTATCTTATACCAAACTCCATTCTACTAATGTTCGAATAATCAAACGCTACTCGACTTTAAGTCGCGCCTAAGTATAGTTCTGTCACTACAAACTCTTCGAAAAATTACAGAGATGGCATGATATTTAAGTACAACTTAAACTTGAGGAGCTTTCCAGTATTCCGGCGTAAAAGAATTTTCGTAAGACCTACAGCCTCCTTGCCTGCCCTTAGAGCGCTTTCCCACTAGCGTTTGTTCAGCGTAGGTGTTCGATAAATGCGGCGTTATATAGCGCTGTGTGCCGCTTTATTATCATTTGCACACGCCGTGACAACGCGACGCCTGCGCGGCGCATACGTTTGTCGAATTCCTACGCTGGATAAACGCTAATATAAAGGCGCTTTTAATGAAATTTAAGCAGTTAAGTACAAACCTCTTTATTGCATACAATTTTATGTCAGTCAATTTAATATCGTTTAATGTTGCACCACAACAATCGGTATCTTCGGAATCTAATTACAGTTTGTTTAATGTTCTATAAAGTAAGTTCTAGTGCCTGATTTATTTCGAAGAGAATGAAGTTCTTCGAAGTTCTTTGCGTTCAATTGAATCAGTTCAGTGAAGTTTGAATAAAGCAACAGAGATATAAAATCCTTTAAAATCCTCAGGAACTAATTAAATAAAATAGTACCTTTTATCATTATTTAGAAATGAATTCTTAATTAATTTATATGAGATTGAAAATACACACGCGTGTCATAGTTTTTAGGTTGTTACATACAAAATTATTATCATCTGTTAAAGTTAAATGTTAGGTAAAGACCTCTTCTTACGTGAAGTAAGGAAAGGAAAGTAAGGAATATTAATTACACGGCTTCAAGTCGGATCTAGATATCGTACTATAAGTATATAGGTACCTACAAAACCTTATAACAAGGGTAGATGCCTAATTTTTATTTTAATGTTAGCCTGGTAGATAATTTTAAAATCATTACACACGTATTTTCTTATAGAAACGAATACATTTGACGATATATTGATTTGAAATGTCGCGTGACGTCAGTTCTATGTACATTTTATACGTAGAATAGACGTTTTAGCCCCCACTCTTAAACTTTGATTCGTTTTATCTAATTACTGTTTTATTATACGATAAAATAAAAAAATACGTGTCTAATATTTTTTCATTACCTAACATAAGGACTAAATAGATTTTTAATTTTCATACCCCGTCATCATCCCAACTCTAGATACGAAACAATCATTGATCACATTACGTTAAAAAGTTTTGTATCTTAAATGTTGGTACGCAGTATATTTTGTATAAGACAAATATTTGGGACGCGGGACCATAATCCCAAAGATTGTTGTAGCGGTATAGTTCCCAAAGGGATGAGAGAAGCCTTAATCTTAACAAATATGCCTAACGTCCAAGTAGACTTGACACAACGATGGTAATAAACTTATGTAGGAAAAGGGTACTTTTTCAAAGATTTTTTGGGTAACTTTTATATTTGTGGTAGTTCTTTTGCGTATGTCATGGTGCCTTATTTGATTGCTAAGTAGCATTCTAGCCACTTCTAAAGATATTTAAAAAAATCTTCTCGTCGTCTTTTACAATGAAAATGAATAACGTTATGACAATAATGTCAACATCCATACCTTATGTCATTTTACTGCTGTTTTTTAAGGGGGGAAAATCATCGAATGACTGCTCCCGCCTAGGTGAGGCGGGAGGGAGTGTCAGACTCTTACTGACTAAAAACCACCCCGTTCCTACTCCTGCACGTCGAGCCGGAGCCCCGGTTACCCGTTAGGCTCTCCGCGACTTTACTGCTGTTTAATCTTTTAATTCTAAGTTAAACCTCAATTCTGATTAATTTTAGACATAAATAGCTATCTACATGCTATTCATCAAAGTGACAGTATTATGTTAATTCGGTGAAAAGAACATAACGATATTGATAATAATTCTTTTATTAACTAAGTTTAAGAACACTGAATTCAACTCTCTGATTTTTGGAGTCGGTTAATTAATATACCTAATAAAACCTTTTACGTTAAAGCTGCCAAAATATCCACGAAACGTTTTACGTTACAATATCGCCGTTTGAAGCGCTTCGATGTTTGTTGTATTGGCAACATCGAAAAGTTAATTTCTCCTGTGCCGAGCAACGAAAATTCCGGAAATATCAAATATTTTGTCAAGAATGCAGACTTGTTTGATGTTCTTCATGAAATACATCTGAGTGTTGGGCACGGCGGAAGAAACAGAATGGTTGCAGAAGCTAAAAAGAAGTATGCAAATATATATCATATATACTCAAGAGGCGATTCTTTTGTATCTTCGTTTATGTAAGTCATGTCAAATGAAACAAAAATCTACCAAAAAAGGCCTTGTCGTAAAGCCTAATTTATCCAGCGAGCTAAACAGACGTTGCCAAGTAGATTTGATAGACATGCAGACAAACTCAGATGGTGACTACATGATGATACTAGTTTATCAGGACCACCTCACGAAATTCGTACAACTTCATCCGTTACAAAGTAAGACTGCGGAAGAAGTATCAAAGACATTACTTGTTATATTTTGTATCTTTGGATCACCCTCAATACTTCAATCCGACAATGGCAGAGAGTTCGCGAATCGAGTTGTGAAAAATTTGACGCAGGTGTGGCCAGGTTTGAAGATTGTGTATGGGAAACCACGACACAGCCAGGTACAAGGTAGTGTTGAATGTGCCAATCAAGACATCGAAAAAATGCTTATGAGTTGGATGGCTGACGTGAACTGCCAAAAATAGTCAGTAGGCTAACGATTTATTCAGCTAATGAAAAATAGAGCTTACCATCACTGAATTAAAAGATCGCCGTACCAGGCAATGTTCGGTTCTGATGTAAAGGTCGGGCTGAAATCATCTGATCTACCACTGAAGTCCTTGCAAATACACAAAGTGAGGAAGATCTTGAGAAAGTTCTTAGAGAGTTAGTTCATGATGAGAGTGACGAAGCTACTAAAAAAATGAGTCATCAAAAGAGAATTACCAACCAACACCAGGAAGTTGCCAGAAAGAAATCGAAATGACATATTGCAGGCTCTGTGAGGAGAAAAAATTTAAGATGTGTGAAAAGAAACTAAAAATTGACATTAACAGGAAAGGCGCACAGGAAGGTTTGGTAAAACAAGCTATAAAAATGACAGCTTCATCAAATGAAAAGTTTCCCCCATGTAAAGTCGGTGGTACAGTCCGAGTAAAAATTCCTGACGTGGACAGAGGTAGAGGCGACTTTCCCAATGTGTTAATGGTTATACTTGAATGTAACGACAAGGGGTTAAACAAATACGGCACTATAACAGAACTATTTTCAAGAAATCAGTTCACTGTGTGTGACTCAACATTTTTAGATATTGACATGTAGGACATTATTGACATGGATTAGACATATAGCCAATGCACAATCGACCTTTGGTGGTCAAGGGTATAAAAGATGCCACTGCAAAACCAAATGTGGCAACAAAAAGTGCCTATGCAAAGCTGCTGGTATTTTGTGCAACTCAAAATGTCACTCAAGTTTAAGTTGTTCTAATAAAAGTTTTACGTGTGGGAGAGCCATGCTCCGGCACGAATGGGCCGGCTCGAGGAGTGATGCCACGGCCTCACAGAAAACTGACGTGAAGCAACGCTTGCGTTGTGTTTCGTCGTGTGAGTGAGGTTACCGGAGGCCCAATTACCCTCCCCTTCCCCAATCTCCCCAATCCCTGAATCCCCAACGATCCTCAAACTCCTAATCCCCAAAAGGCCGGTAACGCACTTGTAACGCCTCTGGTGTTCCAGGTGTCCATGGGCGACGCCGATTGCTTACCATCAGGTGATCCGTCTGCTCGTTTACCGGCTTATGCCATAAAAAAAA